TGTTATTATGAATTTACCTTACATGATAGTATTTTCTACCCTATCATAACTACCACTGATTATGACACATTCTACTTCTTAAATCTCAACCCACACTCCACTCCAGTTTAAGTCTAGGTGCTCATAAGACACTTAAATCCCTTAACATGACCCTGATACCACTTATAACATCTCATGCCAACCATTACAGATATCGTCCACTTTATCCACACACATGTACTCAGTTTTAAAATACGTCTGATAGAAGAGGTATCCAGTTTCTTATAAGACAATTTTTGTTTTCCTCCCTAACCGATGTGCAATCTTACAATCACCAGCTAACTTATCAGCTAGTTTCCCAAAACATAGACAAGTTATCTTAAAACTATTAATCGAGAATTGAGTTTGGGCCACTAATTCAATTTTGACCTTTCAATTATGCTAGTTAAATTATAATATATAAATCTTTAATAACAACAACGATGAGATATAACTTGTCAAAATTGTTATGTCTTTTGATTTTAAAAATGAGTCGTTTTCAAGAGTTAATTTGAATACAATTAAACGACGTGGGTTTTACTTTTCTTTTGTAAAGGGTAAAAAGCCAATGGTGATCGACACATAAATAAAATGAAGAATAGATTTATCCATATATATTATTCAATTTCCAAATAAAAAATGAACATCAAGATATTGTATAGCAAGAATAAATGGAGGGAAATGCATGTGAAAAATACATGATTGGGGAGTTGTTTGAAATGGACTTTGCTACTAAATGAATAATCTCATCTCAAATATCTGACTTTTCAACACAATATATATATATATATATATATATCAATTAAACAATTTATATTAATATTATTTTCCTACCATAACATGGCACGTTTTAGCATTATAGTTGAAATCCACAAAATCATATTATATATTTTACAATTTATTCCATAGCAGATTTAATCTCCATGTTCCATCCATCCATCCCTTTTGCAACTATTGAAATATTCTCATTTACATACCAAAAATTATAAAAACCAATTAATTAAGATATTTATAAAAATAATGATAGTTTATTATCAGAATTTGTTTATATTTATTAAAATAAATGAACGATTGAGATTGGTTTATATGATTCATATTAATGACTGAATTTGTAAATAAAACCATCTCTGATATATTCATATCTACATATTAAATGTTGAATATAACTTCTTAAAAAAACATAATAATTAAATCGAAAGGATCATGCCATTATTATTTCTTGGAACAAAAAAGGAAAAATAAAAAAAAAGGCTGCTGTAGGAAATAGGAATAATTGATTACAAGCCACATGAGGATTTTTCGAATTTTAGCAACATGACACCTATAAAAAACCAATAATAAAAAAGAAAAAAACAAAAATAAAAGTTTGAAAGTTTTATTTAGTGGAGGAGTAGTGCTTTGTGTGGTAACGGTTTTGTACTATTGCATTTTAAGTCTTTTTCTACGAAAATCATAACCAAACCGGGTTTTATTCAACCGCCCGGTTCAACTCGAATATAAAATAAAATAGATCCGGTTCAAAGTTTATCTGTTAATATATTTAATAAATTAAATTATTTATGAGACTTTAAATTTTTAAATGGGTTAAAAATGTGCTCCAAATATGAGAAGTAAAAGAAAATGATATGTAGGAATAAAACCATGTCACAAAGTGGGACCCGCTTGTTTTTTTATAACGTAATGTAATGCAATGCAAGAAAAATCACATTATATTAAGACCCATAAAGTTTTTTTTTTTTTTTTCACAAAAGACAAAAATGTACAAAGTTGAAACTGCCGGTTGCTTTTATTTTTATCACTAAAAGGATATTTGTGTAATACAGCGAGATACATCTTGATTTTTTAATATTTTATTTTATTTGTTATCTCGGTCGATGTTATAGTATGGTCGTATGTGATTTTGAAAAAACAATGATGTTTTTATTTTTGAATAAAATATAAACTTGAAGATATCATAAAAATTTGGAAAAAATATATCGATGTTAGTATCAAATTAACTATTTAAAATTCCTATTTTTTATGTAATTTTTTAATTTAATTTTCTTATTATAATTTAATTTGAGTTCAATAACAAAGTAATTTATATTTGGTTTAATAATATAATTTTCTTATAWAGATAATAATTAATTATKTTGTTAGAACWYGATAATTATCCTAATTATATATTATTTTTTTTATATTTATAAAATTAAATTTTTATTCTTTATTTGATTATGTTTATCCGCAATTAGTTACACGAATTCAAACATAGAGCTTTAATAAGTTGTACTTATGCATAATTACTTGTAATCTTGAATTTTAAGTAATATGCATCAATATACAATACTTTATGTATAAAAAATGGTTTTTAAAAGTTTTTGTCAAATGTTTTATAATATAGTCTAGATATAAAACCATAAGTTTAATCTTAAAAATCTCTAACAGTTATATTATTTTAGAAATTTTAAAAATTTGGAACAATTCGTTGTAACAACAAAACTCAACTATAAATTTGGAAAACTCAGCTCTGTTGTATATGTTCTTATCGTTTTAAAGCAAAAATGAAAAGATTTAGTTTTTGATAATGAATTTTTTTTTGTCACGCTTCTTAAAAATGATGGTTTTAAAAAATAAGAATACAAAAAATTGGTTTAAATTGTTCAAATTACTCTCGTAATAAAATAACATAACATCCAAATATGTCAGTTTTTATCTTGGAATTTTTGAGTGTTACGTTACTTAATATATTTAATTATGTAAAAGTCACTCGAAGCTGTTATCCATAGTTATTGGCTTATTCATATCCATACGTGTGTGATGGTTGACTCACTCGCATTCTATAAATTAAATTTAGTCGATAAAAAGTTACGTTTTGATTTTGTTGTTAAATAATAATATCATTTACATTACAAAACACGTTAAAAACTTAAAATACAAAGAAAAAACGAGAGTTAGGTAACAAGTAACAAAAAAAATCGACGGTGATCTTAGGTTACGTATCTACTTTAAAACTAAATCGAATATCGATCAACCATTGATATAAACAATCAATATTTAAAATGGAGTATTGGTAAAATCCATTAATCCCGTTATCTTACAAACTTTCCTCAATTACAATTAATTAAAAAAATTAAATTTCTTATAAATATATTTGAAAGTGATATTGGACAAGAAGTCATGGAAAACAAATAAGTACACCGCAAGATCACATCGTAATCGGATTCCATTTTGGTCTTCACTTTAAAATAATTGTATATTATTTATACTATATTATAAAACATTTGATAAAAACTCTTAAAAACCAATTTTTATGCATGAAATACTGTTTATTGATGCATATTATTTGAAATTAAAAATTACAAATAAATTGTACGTAAGTATAACTTATTAAAGCTTCATGTTTAAATTTAGATTGTATGGTTAAGTGCTAACTGTGATAAGAGTCATCGTTCTCACTTACCAGGTAAGACTCTCGTCCTTGTCATATTCATCCGCTAAGATAATGTGACTTGGTAAACATTTAATAAACGACCCGTTATATTTACCGTAATATAGATAGAAGTTTTATAAACACCCTTTTGTTGTTGAATGTTAAGTATGATAACGAAAACATATGTTTATTGGTGATTGATTTAGAATTTGATACGGTATAGAATCTCTTTCTTTTAACTTTTCTAAAAGAATTATTAACTTAAACAGTTAAAATTAAAATAATTATAGAATTTGCATTATCCGTATTTCGTGTTACGTTAATCTTCTGAAACTTATATTTCATGTTTCGTGAAAGTCTCATCTTAATTTTGGATCAAAAAGAATAAATTATTTCGTTTATAAATTATTTCAACAACAAATTATATTTTAAACACTATATATATATATATATATATATATTATATAATTATTGAGCTATTTGAATAATAATAATTGAAAAAAAATGTAAAATGTAAATATACAAAGCCGCCTCGACCCCACCCATAACTAAGATGCAACAACCCCAATAATATATTACGAATTTGGTAGAAATGAACAAGGGCCAAGGCTGAGTTTTTAGGAATTAAATATAAAAACCAAATGAAATTGAATAATTCAAACTCTTGTCCAAAAATGGAAGAACCCCATTTATTTGTTGTATCTATTGGTTTTTGTGTTGTTTCTGCTTTACTAACTTATACCATATGCTATATTTTATGTACATGTAAAAGAGCGTAGTGGTGGCCTGCGATGGTATCTTTATTTATCTAAACAAATTAAGAAATTGTTGGACTCATACAACCCATTAAATTTTTTCTACTTTTGACATCTTTTGATATAATTAGATGCTACATATAGCATTCGATCCGTCTTGGAAGTAAGTCTTTATAATACATACATATCATGTTATGTTGTCTTTTTTTTCCAGTTTTCTAAATTAACATGTTACCAAATTTATATGTAACGGGGTAATCAATAGCCATAAATAAATAAAATATTGGTTTATTTATTAATTATTAATTTTAAAGAATTATTTGATGAATTAAAGTATTCGTTACGTGAAAATGACTTATTGACTTGAAAACAATTTTTTAATTTCATTTTTACGAAAAATACTTAGATTTGGAATTTTTAAGAAGAAACTCAAAAGTAAGAAATTAATGTAAGGGGTTTTATTTTTGAAATAAATGCAGTGGCTTTTAATGTCTGAATTGATATATAGTTTTATAAGATATTAAAATGGTTAAAATAGAAAAGATTAATTAATTAAGTGCATAATGTAAATGAGGCGTGATGATGGTCTGGTAGAAGAGATGTCTGAATCATAGCAAATAAAAACTTGGAGCAGGTAATTAACGGACTAAAAATTAATTAATAAATAAATAAATAAACGTTGGCTTAATTAATCAATAATTAGTAATATGCTTAAAAACGAGACCATAATGTATCCCAGCTGTGAACAAACCATTGGCAACTTTTTTATTTACATAAATCGCATACGACCTGACAGCTTCCTTCTAACCACTACACCCTTTGTCTTTTTACTATAAATATCCTCAACTTTACAACCCAGACTCATCACCTTCCACCACCACTCCGCCCTCCTCTTCCTCCCTTACCGGTCAACCATGAGAGTTCCGGCCGGTGGCGGCGGCCCTTTCAGGGCTCGTCTATGGCCTATAGTCATTGCATTGACAGTACTTGGTGTTTCTAATCTTATAGCTGCTTCGGCTGATGATCATCCTTACATATATTCTTCACCACCTCCCCCGTATGAGTACAAGTCTCCACCACCACCTTCACCCTCTCCTCCACCACCGTATGTGTACAAGTCACCACCACCACCATCACCATCTCCCCCACCGCCATATGTGTACAAGTCACCACCTCCACCTTCTCCTTCACCTCCACCACCTTATGTGTACAAGTCTCCACCACCTCCTTCACCTTCTCCACCACCACCTTATGTGTATAAGTCTCCACCACCACCATCACCATCTCCTCCACCACCTTATGAGTACAAGTCTCCACCACCACCATCGCCGTCTCCTCCACCACCTTATGAGTACAAGTCTCCACCACCACCATCGCCGTCTCCTCCACCACCTTATGAGTACAAGTCTCCACCACCACCATCACCGTCTCCTCCACTACCTTATGTGTACAAGTCTCCACCACCACCATCCCCCGTACCTCATCCTCCTTATGTCTACAAGTCTCCACCACCACCATCACCGTCTCCTCCACCACCTTATGTGTATAAGTCTCCACCACCACCATC